GCAACTGCTGAGCTTCTGCTGAGGGTGGGGGTGTGGCCAGCAGTGGTGGCCAACCTGTGAGCTCAGTAACCACACCGGGCAGAACCCTGAACACTAGGAAGAGGCACCTGCTTGTTACACGTGGATTTACCACAAATTTATAAAAAACAAAGTAACACAAAGCCAACAACAAGCTCAATTCCTGGATGGAGATCATAGCTCACAATCACCAGCTGAAACGGACCTGATACATATTAACCACCGTGATATTAACCCCTGTGAGTTCTGTGAGTTCTTCTAGAAGATCGCCTTCACCTCAAAAGCTTTTCCCACCCCAAGCATTCAAACCCAGAGTCGATGTTGTTGTTAGGTGTCATCTAGTCCATGCGTGCTCACAGTGACCCTGTACAACAGAACCCTGCAGTGTCCAGCGTCACCTTCACAATCTCCGCTGTGTGCTCGAGCTGTGGCTGTGGCCACTGTGTCAGCCCCTCTTAATCAATGGTCACCCTTTGCTTTGCTGACCATCTGCCAAGCGTGATGTCCTCCTCGAAGTGTGTGGTCTTTCCTGATAACATGCCCAAAGTATGTGCGACAAAGTCTCCCCATTCCTGCTTCTAAGGAGCATAGATTGTTGTGGTGACCCTCGCTGACCCTCCAGTGGATTTTCAGAGGCGGTTAATGGCACAGGACGAGACTGCCCACCTTTCTCCCATGAAACAGCGGGTGGATTTGAACTGTGTGCCTTAGGGATGGCAGTGCTGCTCCTTAACACTAGATCAGAGCATGGACACATTCTCATGTATCCCACATTGTGCATCCACCTTGACCGTGCACATTTAGATCCATGTCACAACCTGCTTTCTAGGAAAAAGAAAGAGAATCACACTTGACTTTGAACTTCACTGATGGCCATTTGCAGATGACCTTGGCAGACAGTCCCCTTCACTCTGGTGGAGGAAGAACTGCACTGCTCCACTCAATGTTTTGTCCTTAAAAGTGAAATTTTTCCTGGGACTGAGCAGTGGTACAATCTCTATGAAAATAGTGTAGCACTTCCTTAAAGAGTTGAAAATGAAATAACCATGAGACCCAGCAATTGAACTACTAGGTATATAGTGCAAAGAACTAAGAGCCGAGCTCTAACACCGATGCACATTTCAGCATTATTTACATTATTACATACATGTCTATGCATGTGCATCAGGTTTGGAGGAAGACTCACCAACAACCTGTGTTGTGCAGATGACACAACCCTGCTCGTTGAAACTGTGAAGGGCCTGAGGCATTTGTTGAAGAAGGTCAAGGACTGCAGCCTTCAATATGGCTTGAAGATCAACATCAGAAAAACAAAGATTCTCATCCTGCATCATGATACATGGTGAAGAGAATGAGATTGTCGACAGCTTCAGTTTGCTTGGCTCTACAATCAACATTCTTGGTACAAGCAGACAGGGAATCAAAAGAAGAATTGCTTAGGGAAAATATGCAGTCAGAGACCTCTCCAGAGTACTGAAAAACAATGATGTCAGTCTGGAGACTAAGGTGCCCCTGATCCATGCCATGGTCTTCACAATTACTTGCCATGAGAGAGTATTGCATCAGAGAGCTAGACAATGACTAGGGATGGTAGAAGGAGAATTGATGTCTTTGAGCTGTGGTGCTGGAGAAGAGTGTTGAATATACCATGGACTGCTAGGAGAACAAACAGGTTCATCCTAGAGAGGGTGAAACCAGCCTGCTCCTTGGAGGCAAGGATTCATCTGACATACTTTGGACATGTTGCAAGGAGGTATCAGTCCTTGGAGAGGGACACCATGCTTGAGAGGGTAGAGGGACAGTGCAAAAGAGGAAGACCCTGGATGAGATGAATTGACTCTATGACTGGGGTAATGGGAATAGGTGTGTCAGAGACAATGAGGTTGGCTCAGGATAGAGTGGCGTTCAGAGCTGTTGTAATAGAGTCACTATGAGTTACAAGTGACTTGATGGCACATAACAACAACATGAATTACAGCATTATTTACAACAGCAAAGAAAAAGAAACCAAGCACCTATCAACAGAAGAGTAGACAAACTATGGCACATTCAAACAATGGAATACTATGCAACACTAAAAGAATAATAAAGAATGTTGCCGAACACCATAATAATATAAATGAACCAGGAGGACTTTGTGCTGAGTGAATAAACCAGACACAAAATGATGAACTGTATATGTCTGATAGTATGTATATAAACTGAAGAAAAGAATACAAACAGAATAAAGTATTCTGTGGTGGTTACTGAGGAAGGGGGAAGGGATGGAAAACTTTTGGAAAAAAACCCCAGAAAACCAAGAAGTAGTATCTGTGATGTTGGAACAGACTTGTGTTCACCTGGCTGGCCTGACTATACTGCGTTGAGTCCAGGGTGCTCACACCTCAGATGTTCCTGGGAGGCTGTGATGGATCTGAGGATCTCTGCCCTCCTGCTGCCCCACCAGGCTGAGACATCTCCCAGCGTCGTGCTGCGCAGACGTGAGCGCTTGCCTGAACGCACAAGGAATGCAGGCCCAGCAATTATTCACCCAGTGGAATGCAGCCTTCCTGTTTCTCTCTGTCTTAAATGAACTCTGCCACCGTTTCTGGTTCCAGTTTTGACTGAGAGGATTGTAGACCTGTTATAACCTGGAAGGGGGTGGGGAGGAATCCAGATTTTTCTGTTTTCAGGAAAAAAATAATTACCCATGGACAGGCCACCTGGAGAACAGGGTATGTGATACAGCCCGTTGGCATCAACTGGACTTACAGGGTCCCAGCTGTTGTTTTGCAAGTAGATAGGAGGGGGTGGTGTTGGATCCCCAACATTGATTCATGAGCTTTTCCACAGGAAAGCCGAAGGTCAGGAAGACATCAGGCGGGAAGGAGCCCGTTGGAACTCATTAGCTTCCAGTTCAAATCAACATTGATTTTCCAAGGCTGTAAGTTGCCAGGGAGGACAGTGTCCATGTCTCTCCTCTGGAACGGCTGGAGGATTCGGAACATCAGAGAGGCACAGCCTTTGGGTCAGCGGCCCAACTTCTAACAGACTGGGCATGTCGGGCCCAATAAACCCATGAGGAAAACGAATTCCACCTGTGGTCTTCCACCACGGAGCAGCTGGTGGGCTCACACTGCAGCGTTCTGGTTGACAGTCAAGCACTGCAACCCATCAGGGTCTCTATTTCCCCAACAGTGGTGCTAAATACACAGAAAACCACATATGGGGAAAGAATTCTTCTCCCGACAACTTACAAAGAGAAACAAAGGCTCTTAAAACTCGCAAGATTGTTTATGGTTTGCCTTCAAGTTGAAACTGATTGATAGCTGACCCTCCAGCAGGTTTTCAGAGGCAGTTCATTTCACAGGAGGAGAATGCTCATCTTTTGCCCACAGAGCCGCTGGTGGATTTGAACCGTAGGACTTTGGGATTGCAGCACAGCTTCCTACCACTAGGCCACCAGAGACTCTCAGTTACTCTAAAAAAAACAAAAACCCAAACCCTTTTCCTTTCCTTTTTTTTTGTCCTTCCCTTCGCCCTCCCCTCCAAAACCCTTTTTCAAGAATGTAAATCCATGCGCACCTAGAGGGACCGACAGAAAGTTCTGAATATGCAGACTGCATTCTCTTTCTTGGTCACAGAGATTAAATAGTGAATGAGAAACCACCACAGCCACAAAGTCTTTGTTCTCGGGAGCATTTTTTTTTAAAAAGTTAAGAGTTATAAAGATAAAAAAACCCACAAACAGAACAATGATAAAAACCCTAATAATAACAACAAAAATGAATCATATTTTGTCTGTAATTCTTACATTTTTATATCAGTCATATTGAAAATATACTCAAGATAGTCATATTAAAATATATAATTTAATAACTTTGTCCATCTTTCTTTCTTGAAATACACTGTCAGAGCAGGTAGAAGGCGGCAGAGTGGAGTGCTGGCTGTCGGCTGGCTGGTGCGCAGCACGGTGTCTGAGGCGAAAGCTGGACTGTGGTCCTTTTACCACATGAATGTAGTCCCAGGGCTGAGGAAGACAGAGGAGATGGGGCCCAGGAGAAGAAGCCACAAAGCCTGGGGAAGAGTTTGAATGTCAGTGAAGGCATTGTTGTCTGAAGCTTCGGCCTGTGGCTCCGAGCACCAAGGGTCTCCAAGATCAATCGGCCCGTGGCTCCGAGCACCAAGGGTCTCCAAGATCAATCGGCCCGTGGCTCCGAGCACC